TGGGAGAATCTGAAAATGCCTACCTGCTGGTCAACAAACGTCTGAATGTTTATTGCGCAAAGATCTTTGTTGTCGGGTACCAAGTCAACTTCTGTGTCCGGGCGTTCGGAAGAGAGGGTAATGGTGAGGTCCTAAATATCAAGCAATTATGCTTTTTCGGATGTAAACGATTAAAACTATCATCTGGAAACAAGTATGCTGTTGAAAAATCGGGAGACCTGGGTTGCCACCTTATACGAGTAATCCGGTTCAGTTTTACAAGGATCGAATCATTTTATTCCCATACCTTATCTTTACAAGGTTCGGTGGTCATCGCTCGAACCCATTTACTCAGTGTTCCATCCGCTCAACTATTCGCTAATAGAGTCTTTTAGGTAGCATGCTTTTATAATTTGCATATTCGGCTCCAGTACCTCCGAGGTGTCAGTGTAGTGCTATAACAACTCCTAAGATCTGCAAAAGTTTGGTAGTTCTGAATTTTCTCATCCTGTCCACCTAAAGCACCGCCTTTAGTTCAACCGCCAAAATGTGTGTTGTCTTCCAATCACAAGTTATTTGTGCTCCTAAATTCCTCTTTTCTGGTCAAGAATTGCTTTATTTCTTAATGCGATGAAGCTTTTCAAACTTAATATGTACGGTCAGACAATCTCATAGTGATTTCCAGCTACAGTTCAGCAAAGAAGGTACTAAGCAAACACTGACATGAAATATGCTTTTTCTGGTTCCCAAGTACTCCACTGGAATTATGCTACAATTAAAAAGATGAACTTTCTCAAGTCCTAATTTATCTGCCCCCTCAAAACTTTAGGCCCAAATGGTAACATCCTTCGACAAGCATTTGATTGATACATGGAAGCTGTATTTTATTCCTGACGCACCCTCGCTCTCAAAGCACTAGGGCGAATACTTAAGGGATTGTTGGATGGATAAGCGCTTGGATTTTCTTGCGGCAGTGATGATCGGCCCCACGTTTGAGTATTTCTGGAGCAACTGATGTGACGCCATTATCCTGCAAAATACACGTATGTACTAGAATATTTACAAGGCAGAGTTGTGAATTTTCACCACCAAAACCGACCTCACACCAAGAACCCATTTCAAGGAACACGTTTCATTATTTCAACCCAATCATTTAAACCATGGGGGAGTCAAAAAAATGTTATTATTTGAGGAAAACGCGAAATTCCGCCACAACTTCAAGGATTTTGGTTCAAAAAGACTTTTTGACAGTGTGACCATATACGACTTTGTAATAAACCTTCATATTTGAGGAAATTGTCCCGCTCCTCGGCAAAGGACATCAATGCACCGAATCTCTGTTGATACTGCTCTCGCAATTTCGAACGCCAATTGAAGGCTTCCTGCCTATAGGATTCGAAAATCCAAGACGACAAAGTGGAAATCATATTTTGTTACTGTAGACTAGAGGAAGAAACAGTTTATTGGCGAACGTGATATGGTGGAGAGCAAAGTAGTCCATATTTAATGGAAGGTGTTTCAGTAGGACAGTGTGTTCCGTTTTAAAAACAGTCGAATTTTCAGACCGAAGATGTTGTAGGCGTTCAAAGTTAGTAGGCCTAGCAATAACTTCATAAAATCCAGGCAATAACACCGTCAAATAACTGCCACATTGGGTAAGGTCACATGTTTAAAAAGAATATTGCAATTGAACTCGATTGCCTCCATGAAAAAAAATAAAGTTCTAAAACTGCAATTCTCGTAAAGGAACAAACGGTGGATATGTTAAAATAAACATTCTGATTTACGAAGTTGCGTGAGATTGACATTCACCAATCTGTCCAAATTTCAGGACGAAATTCGGCACTTGCGTTTAGTCGCGAAATTGCGGGTTCGTGTCCAGTGCTGGGTGTGGCATGAGGACTAGCAATCGACAAGAGATAAATGGCATAAACAAAGACTATAAGCAGACATTCCAGTGGCCAGCAAGTTTTCTTGATTATCATGATCTTTGTTTTGGGTTCTTTTTTGGACAGCTGAGTTCAGCAGAAATGTGCGATAACTAAATCGAAGGACAATGTTGCGAATTTGGGCCTGCACCCTGAAATTCCTCCTTAGGTCAGTACAATTGTGCGGGTTTGTTTCACGACAGAAAAGTACTGAACGGTAGTAAGACTGCTCATACTGATTGCAGCAAACATGAGACTCTCAAATAGGGTAACAAAAGAGAAGAAAGAGGACGCTGGGACAGCTTTGTTTGCATCTGAATTTTCGGGTGGCACGCGAGGTCCTTCATCAGCAGGATATGAAGCGCCCGCCTCGCAGCCGGCTCTGTAAACTAGGCTATGGGTGGGGGTTGTTGTGCGTGTTTGCGTCCCTGCGCCTTCATGGAATTGTTTGATTCGCTGCCTGTGCCCAAACGAATGGTCGCGAAACGGGGTTCTAGGGGCGTCCACTTGTGACTCCACGTGAAGGTCGTAGTAGATCTCTCGCTAGCTTGCAGGTGTTGACTACGCCTACCGTCCACTAACTGACACCCAACTCACACATGTGGCTCTCGGAAGTCAGCCTCTGTCAAGCGGCCACCCCCCGGTAACCGCCTCGACCGTGCGAGCTAAGCCAGGTAAGGGCATCCGTGCGTGTATCTCCACACACACGGTGATTCTGCTCCTCCCACCGTCGCTGACCGTACGAACCACCGCATCGCCATCTGCAGGATGAGGTTCCGTCCGCAACCCTCCAGGAGTCCACGTGGTTAGTGACCCCCCAGGCAAGCTGAATACCGCTTAGTTGTCTGTGCCCGCTCACACTTGCATTTCAGCACTGAGCAAGCCGCTAACCAAGTGGCTGGAAGATCTGTCCCATTCTACTCCTGCGCATCTTTCTCCAATTTTCTCCTCCACCATTCACTCCCTCTACTTTCTACCCTCTTACCCTTTCCCCCCAGGCGAAAGTCCTACGGCGAAGTCCACATGCAATCAGGGAGGCGACCTAAGCCATTGGTCGTTCGTTCACCAGACCTCGTGACCCATAGAACAGAGCAGTATCCGTCTGGTGCGACAAAGCAGCACTGCCTTACCCCGAGAGGCGCAGGGGGCTATAAAATGTGCCCTAAACAAAGCTGGGTTCATGAAATATGCGCACAGACCGTGGCTCGCAGACTGATAGACATGCGGTCGAAAAAAACAGGACACAATACTCTCTCTCATCCACCTCCTCCCCGCTGCTCCGCCCCACGGGCAGCTAGGGTGAGTCCGCCCATTCTGGCAGCCTGGAGTGTTCTCTCCGTTTTAAACAATCCTGGGAGCAACCGACCTGAAAGAAAGACTGCGCTAGTGGTTCGGAAACTGACGCGCTACAAGGTAGACATCTCTGCACTCCGCGAGACCCTGTTCTTCGAACAAGGCCAACTGGATAAAGTGGGTGTCGGCTACACCTTATTCTCGAGCGACTGTCCCAGGGCAGAGCGAATGGACGCAGGCGCCGCCTTTACCTCCCGCAACGACTTTCCTGTCTGCTGCAGGGCATCAACGATCGCCTGATGAGTCAGCGTCTGCCTCTTCGGGGATCCTAATTCGTCACCATCATTAGCGCTTACGTCCCAACAATGGCCGGTTTAGACGACGCGAAGTCCAAGTTATACGAAGACCTGTATGCCCTTCTGGCGTTTGTGCCGAAAGAGGACATGCTGGTTGTCCTTTGTGACTTCAACGCGCGAGGGACAGACTGTACTGGAAGGAGGGGAGTGCTGCGTCCTCACGGTCTCGACGGTTTCGACGACAATGGCCTGCTCCTCCTACGAACTTGCGCAGAACACCAGCTCATCCTGACCAACACCTACTTCCGCCTCCTGATGCGAGAAAAGGCCACCTGGATGCACCCTCTGTCGCGACACTGTCACTTGCTGGACTATGTCCTCGTCCGGATGTGAGACCGGCGGGACGTGCTGGTGACAACGGCGATCCCGGGTGTCGAAAGCTGGGCTGACGGTCGCCTCGTAACCTCCAAAATGAGGATCCGCCTACAGCCTCGCAGGAGACCTCATAGCATACGCCTCTCAGGTAAGTTGAATACTTCTTGGTCGTCTTTTGTCTGCTAATCACCTCCATTTCAGCAACGAGCAAGCTCAACGTTAGCCAACATTCTAGTAACCGCTGCCGCCACCGACGACGAGGACGCCAACGAGGAGAACCGATAGTGCCAACTGAGTGACATAATTCAGTCAACCGATCTGGTTGTCCTCGGTCGCGCGCGCCGCCAACATCAAAACTGGTTTGTTGACAGTGACGCCGCCATCGGCATCCCTCCCGCCGAAAAGGACCGTCTGCACAAAGCCTACATCACCCGCTGTACCAACGACAACAAATTTACTTTCTCCCGTAGTTACGGCCTTGTGCATCAGCGGCTGCGGGAGATGTAGGACGCCTGGACGGCTCGGGAGAACGAGGAGATCCAAGGGTATGCGGATTTCTTCGCTGCGATCAAAGCTGTCTACGGTCCCACAGTCAAAGTAACTGCTTCTCTCCTCAGCGCCGACGGAATTACCCTATTCACTGAGAAGGCACAAATTCTGCAGCGATGGGCCGAGCACTTCAGGGGCATCCTCAAGCGCCCCTCCACAACCTACGATGTCGCCATCGGCCGTCTGCCTCAAGTAGAGACCAACACCAGCCTCGGTCTCCCGCCATCTTTCTACGAGACCATCAGCACCGCGCTGAAACTCTCCAAAGGGAAAGCGCCCGGATCGGATGCGATCCCTGCTGAGATTTACAAGCACGGTGGCCTCCAACTCATGGACCATCTGACAACGGTCTTTCGAGAGATGGGGCACCATACACAAGTCCCTCAGGATTTCAAAGACACCACAATTGTCCATCTCTACAAGTGGAAAGGGAACCGCCAACTCTGCGACAACCACATAGGCGTTTACCTGCTTATCATCGCTGGGAAGATCTTCTCTTGAATCCTTCTCAACAGCTACAGGAGAAATGTCAGTAGATGCTGATCCACCTCTACTCTGCCTTCTTGGATCTGACGAAAGCCTTTGATACGGCGAATCGCGAAGGACTGCTGAAAATCCTACAGATATTCAGCTGTCCCGTGCGATTCACTCAGATGGTGCGTCAATTCCACGATGGCATGTCGGTGAGCGTCACGGACAATGGAGTTGTGTCAGAGGCATTCGCAGAGACCAACGAAGCGAAGCGGGGCTTAGTCCTCGTGCCTACTCTCGTCAGTCTCATGTTCTCTGCCATACTAATGGACGCCTACCAAACCAACGGCTCGAGTCGCCTGCATGACGCACGGCCAACTCCTTAATCATCGGCGGATGCACTTTCAGTCGCGTGTATTTACAACTACCGACCATGAGCCTGTCTTCGCCGATGATTGCGATCTCGAAGTCACTGCATAAGGAGACATGCAAAGGAGCATGGGCCTCTTCGCGCTGCCTGCTACAACTTTGCCTGGTCATCAACACGGAGAAGACGGTGGTTATGCATCAACCGCCACCCGACGCTGCCTACGACGTACCCCAAATCAACGGGAACCGTGCCCAACTGCAAGCCGTGGACAACTTCACTTACCTGGACAGCACATTCTCTTGCAATACCAAAATCGACGATGAAGCGCCCCTCCGGATTTCGAAAGTCAGCTAAGCCTTCGGCCGTCTGCTAAACACAGTTTGGAATCGACACGATCTACACATCAGCACCAAACTGAAGATGTACAAAGCCGTCATCCTGTCGACGCTGTTGTATGGAGCGGACACTTAGACGGTGTCTGAGAAGCATGAGGGCAAACTCAATCACTTCTATCTTAGCTGTTTTCCACGGATACCGTAGCTGAGGTGGCAGGACCGGCTCGCAGGCACGGATGTATTGGGATGGACGGGAATCCTCAGCATCCACGCTATGCTGATACAACTGTAACTGCGCTGCAGCAGTCACCTGGTGCGCATGGATAACGAGCGGCTACCCAAACGGCTCCTCTACAGAGATGTCGCCACGGGTTCCCGCGGGCAAGGAGGCCACGTCCGACACACTGAAAACTACCTTGAAGCACCTGCAGATCAACCTAGCCATTTGGAGATATCTTGCTCGGGACTGGCCGACCTGGAGGAGGACAGTGAAAACAGGCGTATCAGTTGACGAAGCCAATCGCGTCATCGTCGCCAAAGTCAAACGCGAAGTTTACAAATCTCAATTGTCCACGTCTCGAAATACCAACGTTCAACCGTCTCCGACCTGCCCACGATGTAACCGGACGTCTCGGACACCCATCGGTCTTACTGGACATCTTCAGACCCAATGCGCCATTAACTCGACAATGTCTTCTTCCCCACTCTCGCCCTGCTGCAAACCCCGTGACGACCTCCACCCCTGTCACCGCCCCGCCGCCACCATCTGATATGCCCAAACCCCCTGCATCGGCCGCAGCGGCCAGAATTTCCATGTCTGTACGTACTCCCCCGCCCCCCCCCCCGATGGGACGACGTCCGGCGTCTCACCACACCACACCATCACGCCTGCGCCATCAGCACCCACAAATCCCAACACTGTCACCCATCACAAGCTCCCACATACCACCTACCACGCAAGTGGAAAGTGTGATTATCGGCTCCTTCTCCATGTGGCTCCTCTGCTACATGTGTGATCCGAGTCTGAGACTCCCACGGCGTGCCACGTGCCATGGCTTGGAAGGCTGCCGACTGACGCCTCACTTCAGTCCACGCAGTCTGCCCAGTTGTGCGTGTGTGCTTGTGTGGAGTGACGGACTGGTCGGCTGAGAGCCAGGCTGTCACGGCTCCGCCTTAACTGGTTTGTCACACTCTCACGCCTGTGGGGAGCACGTGCGTACTTAATGGGTAGTGGCTTTCAGTCGACGACCGTTTGGTTACTCAGCCTTGAAGGGTGATGGCCCAGGCAAATGCAGGGCTGTGTGTCACCCTCCTGGACCCCAAGGTTTGTGAGCGCCTGCTATGCCATGACAAGCTATCCATGTCCCTCACAGCCTGGTATGCGCTGGCAGTTCTCTGGCCCCTAGTTCCCTGTCGGTACATGCGCTGGCGCGCCCGCTAGATATGCAGGTCGTGAGCATGGCTGCCCCGCCATCCAATACCTTTCTAGCCAAAGTACTTAACCACTCGGTGAGCGCGCAGGTCGGTGAGCCAGATGTCGGAGCAATCATCACCCCAGCATCCAACACGGGTGGTGAGATTTCAGCAATTAACAACTTGCATGCCGATCGGACAACAATTCTCTATGAAGGGGAGAGCGGTTAATCAAAACAGGTATGCAGTAGCATAACGATTGTATCCCATAAATACTGCAACTTCCTTTACACGAATCACTCGTTCCTGTCACTCTCTCTCTCTCTCGCTCGGATGATGGGTTCGAGCGAGAATCCGAAACGCCAGGCGAATGAAGCTGTTGTCCCATCGATCTCCTCTATTTCTTACTAAGACCTTTTTGTTGTTTTTGTTGTTGTCACTTAAAATCCTGGTCAAGAGTTTGTTGTGAACCAGGACATGTGGTGATACACCTAGGAGCTGGCCCGGTCGTGCCAGCCACCCGCGCCCTCCACCACCTCTGGTCTTCTTACCTCCGTCTTGACACCGGGAAGGAGAGAGTGCGGAAGATGCTGTGCAAGTCCACTATCACCATAAAACAAGTCACGCGCAAGTCACCATGCCTGCTTCACCTTGCTGTGGAGCGCACGGTGGACATCCTCGGGAACGACGGTCGAACTGCTGTCGGTCGTGAGATGACTGCTGGTTCGAACACCAACCTGGGATACGCCCCGCAAGTGACCGTATAGGGTATCCCTGAAAATGTCTGCGAAGTTGTTTGGTTCTATCCTCTTGCTAGTTTGTGCGTTACAGTGCGTGTGGACTCACCGGTAAGACGTGTGTACGCAACTGTTTTGCAGTGGATGTTTGCTGTCAAAATGTAACGTCTGCATACTGCCTGTTAGCTTTCTGGGGACCGTGGCCGCCAGTGTCGACCATTGGGTTAGCGGTAGGCTAAGGGAACCGCCTATACATTTCCTCCTTCGTTATGGTTTGATCTGGGCTTTGGAGTACTCGATCTTCTCTGACTCGATGATGATGAAGGTGTCGGCTACACAAAATGTAAAAAGTTTGAGCTGGTGGAACTTGAACGCCTGTCCTTAGGAGTCTTGGGGCAAAACTTTAGAGGACAGTATGGAAATCGGAAAGCTTATTAGCGTACCTTTCATCCGCTCATATGTGATCCCGTTAAGGTTGAAGATAGTCATACAGCCATAATTTAAGCAGTTCTAGGCGACCCTAAATTGTAGGCTCGCAGTTGAAGTCCTCATAACAGTAATGCAGTATGCCGTTCATCCGCTCGACAGCTAGTGTTTGCGGTATGAGGTTAAAAAGGGAGCTAGTATGTAATAGAGACTGGTTCAGTTGTAACGCCTCTGAGGCATTCCATGAATTGTTCAAATAACTGGGCTGTTGTCAGTGAGCCCGAGGTCACAGGATTCGATTTGCAGAAAAGCCAGTCCTCAATACCCCATACCGGAGTGACTTTAACCAAGATGAGTGCCTGCTGATGGGAGCCAGTCTTGTTACTCCATAGCAGACCGTAGGATCGTTCAATTTTTGCCTCTGTGGGTGTCACCATGTAAAGCTCTGTGATGAGTGTAGTAACACATGGGCAGTTTTGTAGTCCAACAACGCAGGGAGAGAAAGAGGGGGAGGTGGTATGTCCTTGACTGGCGCTAATGTTACGGCGCCTGTTGGCATTGTTCGCACGGAGTGGTGTAGTGCCATCTGGCGGTGTCAGCGTGCGGCGTTATGACAGGGGGGGGTGTGAGGGGCGAATTAATAGGATTGTTTGCCGGAGGCTTACGCCTTCAGCAGCTATCGCTCTATATTTTTTTCCGGCTGTCATTACTCCGTGTGCCGGCGGATTAAAATTCTTGGCTTTCCGCCCTAGTTAGGGTAGGGACTTTAGTTAGCGGGTTGCCTCTGCGGACTGTCCGTTTGTCCTCGAGTATTCGTGAGCTGAATCGTCATGCCGTCTGGCCAATTTAACGGCAAGGCCAGACAGTCGCCCTCCCCTGACGTCCTCGTTATGCTCTAACTGAATGATGAACCTGGAACAGGGTGTATCAGAAAGAGACTAAAACAACCCGGACCCCCTATATGTTGGACTAATCACCAAATCCCGCGAAAACGCGACTGGATTAGAGAATCAGCTACCCCGTGAGAAGAATACAGGAACATCAGCATCTACGGGAGGAATTAGTAAGGCATAAGAAAATTTAGCAGCTACCACCTGTGTACGCGCCCACATGTGAAAAATACAGGAAAGAGCCGCCAGCAATGTGACACCCTCTGTCCCGTATAAGGAATGTGTCGGAAGTGTCAGTACGCATTGCCGTAGAGTTTGGTGTAGGTGTGCCCATCGCCTGCCAACTATAGTTCGTTACTGTGGCATGAAGGTGAAGAACCAATTAGACGCTGGTGAACAACTCGCTGTAGTTCATCGTTATCCATGTCGCCACTGTCCACGCCAGATGGCAGAACGACTCCGTTCACGAACATGTGAGCACAGACGGGCATGAGCGAGAGACGACCTAACGCTGGAGGGAGAGCACAAATCTGATTTCGCGGTTACGCGGAATAACGGCTCGGGCCGACAACACCAAGGGAACTGCTAGGGTCCTGGGCCTCCGACGGCAACTACATGCACAACTGTATATGCACGCCCCTCTGTTATCACGCCTTCCGTTGGCGTGGCCTAGTTTCCAGCCCCATTGCACCGTGTGAACATTGCCGATAGGCGATAGGTAGTGTACCTCCAGTGACAGACAGGGGCATAAGACCTCCCTTTCTCTCACCCCCCCCCCCGTTTTTGAATTAAAAAACTGCCCATGTGCTACTGTTCTTCCATGATCTCTGAAGATGAGTCCCTGTACGAGCCCGAAGGTCCAGACCGATGCAATTTTCGTTCTGCAGATTGCATGTCCTTCTACGCTGCGATATGAAACTAGGGCTCACATATTCGACCCGAGAGCTTGTGTTGGTCACCGACAACAGGTCAGCCTCAGAGTCAGTGCGGCGACAAACAGGGTGCAGCAGGCTTGCGCATTTGAGCCCACCCTCTTCAGCTGCACTTTCTCCGCCATGCTGGTGGGCGGACAGGGTGAGAAGCGGCCGGGAATCAATATCGACTACCGACCCGATAGATAACTACTCAGCATCCGACGCAAGAAGGTATCTACAAGAGCTTTCAAG